CTGTCTCCTAGATTAGAATGAACAGGAAACAAGGAATTAATTTCTCCTGGATAGTCAATGCATTGGAATTAAGTTGTTCATAGTTGCAGTTACCTTTTCTTACTTACCAACAGGATCTAGGGCCTTGCAAAATTGGAGAAAAAGGAAACTGTCATTTCCACATAGTGCTTTCTGTGTGCATATTATCTTACAGGCACATGGCTTAGCTAAATATCTGGGTGAATTCATTATACAAATTTGTATCTGAATTCCCAGAGAACCCAGGCATCTAGTTGGAAGAGGAACTAAATCTGTCTTTCTACGCTCTGGACTCCTAGCTTGAGAACAATGACATAGTCTCATGCTTCCAACAGGAGGAAGGACATTGTTTTAAGAACACCTATGTGAAGTCTGCTTGCTTCATAGAGAATCACAGCACAGGTGGGGTGGTTCAGAAGTCTGCTATGTACATAGGTGTATGACATTTTAGTTGCTTTAGGAAATCGTAGGACCATTGAAAAGATACTAAATGCTTGGTAATAAGTACAGGGTGCTTTGGGCTTTCTTGCTCTCTTGAACATGTGTTTTATAGTTGGGGAAGATAGGTCATGTTTATATGTAAAATATTAAATAACAGCCTATGATGCTAACATAGATTTAAAGATACCATGTGAATGGTGTAGACAGACTTTTAGGGAGCAAAATCTGTCTATGCCATTCTCCTTAGGGAGAACAACAACAACAACAACAACAACAAAAAAGTAAGCTATTGTAGTATGGAAAAGCTTCAAAAAGTAGGAATTAAAGTTGACAAATACTTATTGGGTCGCTACCGTACATGTTGTGCTATGCTAGATACTGCAGATGTTTGGTGTGGTAGAAGAGATCATCCTCATTTATGCCTACTGCTATGGTGTTGCTGTATTATTTATTACATGTCCTCATTGCCTTTGTATCCTCAGTACTCTGCACATGACAGGCACTCAGTAAATGTTGAATGCATGATGAATAAGGTGCAGTCTCATATAATCTAATAGGATAAGTACACAAGTGATTTTATTACATAGTAGAATAAGAAGTTCAGAGTTATTTGGATATTTCATTTGAAATAGGGCACATTCAGGATAGTACACCTAGAGACTATTTGGATGTTTCAAAGGCAGGAGTAATCACCTATCTTGGAAAATGATCAAGAAAAGACTTTTCTGATGAGATTATATTTGAGATTAGCATTGAAAAGACTGTGAGTAAAGTTGTTTTAGCAATAGAAATAACATCCACAGCATGGGATGGATTTAGGAATGGCGTACTTTATCAGGGCAGGAAACCTGTTAGGCTGTTACATTAATTTCAGCAATAAGTACAGTCTTGACATTTCTGAGAGATTTATCTCAAATCATTGCCACCTTCCAAGTTCAAGAACACAGCTATAGAATAGTATTTTCCTTCATAAAACATCTGTTTTCTAGTGAAAACCATCACTTCATTAGACTATCTCATTTTATCTTCACTTTTGGTATCACCTGTTGGCTTTCTTTGCATAGTTCTGTGACACACACACACACACACACACACACACACACACACAGTGCTAATATTCATTGAGAATTGAGTATTTACTATATGTTGGATGCTATTTTAAGTATTTATGTGAATTAACTCATTTAACCTTCTCAACAGCTCTGTAGAGGCTAAGGAATTTGCTCAAGGTTACACAGAATAGTAATTAGTAGAGCCAGGGTTATATTTCTTTGTAAGAGAAACCATGTAAACATGAGCTGAAAACATCCATTTCTTTTAAACCTGAATGCCATGACCCTAGAAAGCCATTGTACATAGTAGAAACTACCATTGTTAAATTCACAGATGCCAAGAGTCTGTTGTGATAGAATTTATTCATTCTAATAATCATGTATTTATTGGATGCCTACAATGAATGAGATATTATTCCAAGATACAAGTAAGAATATGGCAAATAACACATTTCCTGTTTTTATGGAGAGAGGGAGAGAATGTTACTACTATTGCAGAAATCCAGGCAAAAAATAATAGGATGATTTAGACTGCTGGAGGTGTTGAGAAGTGGTCAGATTTGGGTTATTTTGTAGATAGAGCTATTGGGACTCGATGATATAGGAGTAAAAGAAAGAGATCAAGAATGATTTCTAAGGTTTCAGACCTATAGTCCTTTGTGATTGAGTGCTACTAATTTAGAACAGAAATTTAGATTGAGGAAAAGTAGAGTGTACTTGGGAGATCCACACAGCTGTTCACAGGTAAAGATTCTGTGGTACTCCTCTAAAGATCCAGCTAGTCTCAGCTTATTCAAGCACAGCAACAACTTCTCATAGGTGTTGAAGCCACTTAGCTCCATCCATGTTTTTTGTCTCATACTTTCTTAGCACCGAGAAGGCAAAGGCTGTTCTTCCTCCAGTTATATAACTTGTCCTCATTTTCATACATCTTGTGATTCTCTCAGACTGAACTATTGTAATGTTTATACCCACTTGACTCCCCACAACTGCCACCACCAAATACCTGGCTAAGTCTCATACGTCAGGTTTAATTCATATACTATCTTCTGTCTCCTCCAGGAAACCTTTTCTGGTCCCAGACCCACTCTATTCCTGAGCCTGAGTTAGTGTGGTCCCTCCTACAAGCACTCAAACACTTTATATCTCCTGCATGTAAACACCTTGGTCATAGCACTTATTTATTTATTTTTTAGTAGTCTTTTGTATTTCTAGAACAAGAGGAGTGAACGTATTCTTAGTAAGGAGATAGATGTGAGTAGTAAAGGACAGAATTGAGGAAAGGAATAGGGAAAGAAGAAAGAAGATTATAAATCAGATACATAGTATGTAAACAGTAAAATTTCAGTTAAGGTTAGAAAACATCTTTGGGTCTTGACAGAATTTCAATACTGTAGAACAGTGGTTCTCAACCCTGACTGCACCCATAGATCCACCTATGGAATTTTAAAAATGCCACTGCCATGATTGCCCAAAATCACAATCACAATTGAAAGGAGACCCAGACATTAAAGTTCCCTGAATGATGCATACATTATTAACTACCATTAAAAAGTGGAAAATGATATTGGTTGCAAAAAGGCATTGAAACAGGAGTCAAGAAATTGCATCATTATCTTTATGCCTCATTACTTGTGATCTTGAGCAAGTCACTTAATGCCTTAATGTGAGTTCTTTATCTGTAACCTACTTGGGTAATCTCTGGAGTCTTTTCTATTCTAAAATCCTTTTAATTTAATGAAGGAAATTGCATAAGGAAATAATTTTATAGAGATGACTAGCCAGGTAAGTGTAACACAGGTTGAAGGTAAGAAGCTATTGAGATAAAGCACCATTTAGAACTGCTGTCCTTTTTAGTGTGGGCATGCCAATGAGTTTCTAGAGGAAGCTGGCTGCTTTGCAGATGGTAAAGGGGACACTTTAAGGCATCAATTAAGGACCACTCTCTCCTGCCCCATAAAGATTTTAGGGGACTTCATTTAACTATGAGTATTTAGGGATTTGGTTGCCGTAATTTTTTTTTTCATATAACATTAATATTGTTTATCTCTAGCAAAAGATTCAATCAAGGATGACATATTTTGCCATAAGTGTTGAAGGGATATGCTCTTAATCAGTTTGTGCAGTAGAAATAATGGAATAATTTCTTAGATCATATTCTGTAAGTGTTTCTGAAAAAATTATCAATAAAGAATTCGTTTTGTTTGACTGTTTAGCACCCTGCCAGATAAGAGGTAGGAAGCTATTTAGAATGTGTTGATATGGTCTTTCTAATACTGTGTTATTCATTACTATCAATTGTTAGATTGAAAGAAAAATTTGACTCAATTATAACCTTTTAAACTTAAAAAAAAATTTTTTTATTCTTTGTCTGTAAAAAGGACGTAACTTTCTTTATAAGATGACTATAAGAAGGAAGTGAGATGAAGTACTATCTACTTTGTTGATAAATGCCCAAGAAATTTTAATTTTACTGTCCTCCCAGTCACCTGCTTATACACAAACTCATTATACATATTTACATTTTTACTGTTTTAGTTCTTTTATGCCAAGAGAAATTCTTTGAGTTCTTTCTGTTTTTCTTTTTTTTTTTTTTCCTTTTTTTCAGCTGTGTGTTTTATTCTTGGCATAATATTTTAGAGGTGCTTTTTGTGATTGTTTCTAATTATATGAGTGAGACATTTGATTTTTTTCCCCGACCCTATTTAGTTGTGATAGTTTGACTCAAGTATCTCAAAGTCATGACTTAGTATATTTAGTTTCCTAAAAACAAATCTTTATATTTACCTATCCAGTGCCATTAATTTTTTATGTTTTAATTTTTAAATAAATTTAAAGTACTCAGTTATTAAGCATTCAGGGGTTAATGATCCAATTTGATGTACTCTTTTTGGATCTTTTTATACTACTTCAACAAAATGATACTTAGACTTTTTGAATTTATTTGCTGTTTTGTGAAGATTAATTTTAGAAAGCTAAAATGAAACACTGAAAGTAAGTTACTTTTTTCCATACACTATCTGTCCAGTTTTAGCACTATAAATCAGTTTAAGGATCCCAATCGGTAATTGACCAAATAACCTTACCATTCTTGTTTTCTTCTCCAGTTTTTTTTTTTTTTTTGCCAGTGTTCAGATAACTTCCAGTCTCTAAAATATTTCTGAAATTATAAATTTGTATGATACAGCATAGAATAACACATGTATGTGGAGACTTGAAGGAGTCAGATTTCAGTGAGCCTTTTGTAGGGCTTAACAATTATTATTATTATTATTATTTTGAGGCGGAGTTTCGCTCTTGTTACCCAGGCTGGAGTGCAATGGCGCGATCTCGGCTCACCGCAATCTCCGCCTCCTGGGTTCAGGCAATTCTCCTGCCTCGGCCTCCTGAGTAGCTGGGATTACAGACACGCCCACAGTGCCCAGCTAATTTTTTGTATTTTTAGTAGAGACGGGGTTTCACGGTGTTGACCAGGATGGTCTCCATCTCTTGACCTTGTGATCCACCCGCCTCGGCCTCCCAAAGTGCTGGGATTACAGGCGTGAGCCACCGCGCCCGGCCCGGGCTTAATTATTAAAAGGGGTCCAGAAGGGCAATAGATTTTTAGAAAGTATATGTTTATGGTGGTGAATGTGTAGAGAGGGTGAAAAAGTAAAGGAAAAGGAAAACAAGAAGAAAGAAAACTGATAGGTATGAAGATGAGAGAGAAAGAAAATGGAGGGAAGAGAGCAAGATGTGAACATTAGCAAAAAGGTTGAGGGAAGCATATTCAAAAGGGAAAAAGAAAGCGGGGGAACATATGTTAAAGGTGTTGCAATTAGTATTGACTCACAGGGGTGCTAATCGAGAGTTGAGAGAGTTGTGTTGGGCTCCAGTAGTGCTGCTGTTAAAGAACATTAGGAGCTAAGAGATCTAAATTCTAGTTCTTTGTGTTGCCATGGAGAACTCAGTTAACTCATCAGGCTCAAGTTCCTTATCTGTCTGTAAATTGGGAACATTGAACTAGATGATCTTTAAGATCCCTTCCGGCTCTAAAATTGTATGACATATCTTGGTGTTCAATCACTGTGGGAAACACATTCCTGAGGAAAACTGCAGCTCTAGCTGACTTCAGGACAGCATGTTTAGGGAGTAGGACGGATGTAAGCTCCCTCAGGGTAGGGGCCTTTTCTGTTGTGTTCACTGCTGTATCCCCAGCAGCTAGCACAGTGCTTGTTATATAGTAGGCATTCATTAAATGTTTGTTGAATGAATAATGTGAAAAGTATCATGTTGGTTGCTTGTTATGAATACACCTAGAAAGCTTCAAAGAAAAATGGTGTGCTTTAGGGAGGGAAAAGACTGATTTCTTCTGAAGAAATCTTAAGCAGGCTGATTTTTAGTCTCTTATTCTGCCTTATTTTGTCCCAAATTCAGAGAAAGTGGCTACAGGTAGTAGTATTCTCATAGTCACAAAACTTAGAGCGACTATAGACATACATAACAGTGTTCATGTAATCTAGGCCAGTTCCCTTCAAGTATCTTACAGAAATGCACAACCAAGCTTGGGTCTTCATGGAAGCTAAGTGAAAAGTATATGTATAAAGTATATTAGCTTTATTGAATTAGATTGATTGAATTCATTCCATGGAGAGGCAGTTGGGCTACAAGCTGAGATACTGTAGGCTGTCAAATTCAAGATAACGATCAGTGAGATCTTTGCTAACCACTGCTATTTCTAGGTTAGAAGGTGAAGCATTATGCCAAAAGATAAAAATCACCTTAAATCCCTAGCACTGAAGTCGTCTATTTGATGATTAGCTCTCACTCTATCTTATCAATTTTATTTAATCTCCAGTTCAGAATAAGTTTGGTTGATGAAGCAGACTAGAAATAGAAAGCTCTAAAAAGCATGGGTCAGGAAGATGGAGGAAAGGAGGCAGCATTCGTAGACAGATATGACAGCAAAAGTGATAGCTGTACTTCTTGACTTTGAAGCATAAAAGGAGAAAAAATAAATGTATAGAACATTAGCTCTTTATAATTTTTGATTATTAAATATATTTCCTATGATCTGAATAAAAAGGAAATATACATTTTAAAAATAAGTTTATCCAAAGTAGTTATTTTTGTATCTGAATGGTAAAACTGTCAGTGGTCTTTTAAAAAAAATAAATAAACCTATTAAAATGTATAGTCCATCCCTGAATCTGGCTCCAGGGGTATTAGATAAATACAGAGCCATTATATTTTGACATCTTTTTAAATGTTTTAAAATTTTGTCTTTTATAGCTACGTTAGTTTGAGTTTTTTTTAACCATTGCTGGCATTTTGTTGGGTTTGTAAAAATAGTAATGTTGAGAAATATGTATAAATAGTAAAGTGGCTTTTTCTAAAATGTATTTTTAAAGGATCATATAAAATTAAAGCTACTTCAGCAAAGCGGGGTTAAATATCTTTCTGTATACATCAGTTATGAATAAAGAGATAAAAACACATGATTGCAAAATTTCATAATGGCCTCTTTTATATAAAAATGTGCATATAGGCCTTTAAGAAATTTTAGATCAATATCCATTCATAATATTGTAACTTATTTGGTAGTCATTGACATACTTTTTAATGAAATCAAAATATAAAAAAATAGGAATATGAAAGAAATATCTATTCATAATATTAAAATTCAGACCAGAATATATTTTTTGTTAAAATCAGAGCTTATTTGGAGTGAATCGAATATATCCATTTAGAATTTGCGTATTACGCTAGGTCATTAAAAGTGTCTTAAATTGCCAACTCCAGAAGATGGATAGCAATGAATTTCCTTCTTCTGAATTTTTTTATTAGGTGCACTAGGCCTTCCAATGAGGGGGATGAGCAACAATACCCCTCAGTTAAATCGCAGCTTATCACAAGGCACTCAGTTACCGAGCCACGTCACGCCAACAACAGGGGTACCAACAATGTCACTTCACACGCCTCCATCTCCAAGCAGGTATTTATTGATGGACCAGAATATTTTCCAAAATGTGTCTTGGCAGAGTAAGCAAACTTTTAATTTTTTAATAAGGTAATTAATTATTTGATTTTCTGGTTCAGTGCCTTTCACTGAGGAAGAAAATACCTATGTTCATTTTATTTCTGTGCAAATTGTTAAGTATAGTACACATGGTTTTTATACTACAGCTCGTATACTGGTTGTCAGTGGGGTGGATATCAAGGGTCAATCACTTCCTGGGGAGCTTTTTCAAAAGGCACCTATCTTCCTCAAAGGAATATGTGCAGTTTAAAATTCCTCACCAGATATTTGTGATCATTGCTCCCTCACCACACATCTATTGCTCTAATGACCATAAAGTAAAACAGGTGACATAGACTATGCATTTAGTATGCAGAGGATAGAATGATACGCCTTTGAAATGAAATTATGCTAAATATGTGTGTGAAATACATTTATATTTTATGTCATAGTCACACCAATAGTTCTCTCATCTTAGATACCACCTTATAGCAGTTGCACTATAATTTGCCCTTTCTTGTTTGTTTACTGTGATTTTTCTTTTCAAAGAGCTAGAATGACTAAAGAATTAATAAAAATTAGAACTGCAATTTGAAAGCATGTTTGAGATTCTAGGATAGGACCAATTGATTATTTATAGAGAATTTTAATGAGTGATTATAGAGAGCTTATTTAGTATAATGGACTTCTTTTTCAGGGGTATTTTGCCTATGAATCCTAGGAATATGATGAACCACTCCCAGGTTGGTCAGGGCATTGGAATTCCTAGCAGGACAAATAGCATGAGCAGTTCAGGGTTAGGTAGCCCCAACAGAAGCTCGCCAAGCATAATATGTATGCCAAAGCAGCAGCCTTCTCGACAGCCTTTTACTGTGAACAGGTAAGATGTTTATTGATAATGTGTATAATTGTCTTTCTGGGTATCCTCAGATTTGCTTTTTTATATTTTCACTTTGTTCTTGAGGTGTGGCTTATCTCTAATGTGTGTTTCATCATGCATTAATGTCCAAAGATTACCCATCACAAAGTGATACGTTTTCTTGAAAATCAGTTTGATTTTGGAAAGCACATTAAAACTTTTTGTTGTTGTTGTTGTTAGAAAAGGATTGTTCTTGGATCACCACCAGGCGAAGTTTAGCTGATATGTTCCTTCTTTATAAAATGAGTTGATTACCTGTGTGGTGAGAGTTCTAGGCTTATGAATCGAACTGGAGATGTGTTTGACTATTACTACTTTGCTGTAGTTGATACTTTGAATACCTTCTTAAGTAAGATTTGGTTTTGTGCTTTGGAGACTTACCAACCAAAGACTTTTAAGATCACATCTATAGTATTTGAAAACAGTGTGATGTTTAGGGATTCAAAACAAAAGGATGGGTTTTTGTACTTTTTCAGTTCTTTTTGCACTGTCTGTTGTATACACTTTGCAAATAAGAAGAGTTACTCATTTTTTTAGGATTTTTCAAGCTGTTTGTATGAGAATTATGTCTGAAATATAAGACTTTCTTGCAAAAGTAGTATTTAAACTTAATTGCCTACATGTATATATGTATTTTTAAATGGGGAAATGTAGGGACAAAAATGACCTTGATCTGGTTGTTATCATCATACCTATTTGATTCATTTTCTTCTACCTAGTAAAATCTGAATTAAAATAGGTTGAGCACATTTACTGTTTAATCTTTAGTCCATAAACTCCAGTTTTTGCTTTCATTTAGATATTTATAATTTTATTGATCTTTTAAAGTTATTGTGAAGGGTTATCAAAGTGAAAGGTTATCAGAATTCTCATCTCCTGGATAGCTTTCTAACCTTATATCTTTATCATATCTTTGTACATTCTCATAATATTGGGCATTGAATGTATATATCAATTTTTACCTTTCCATATTTTTCACATTTTGTTACTAAAATATACTTTGCTTAAATTATCAATGTAACATGGATCTCTAAAACCCTGCTTATTTCTACTATTGACAAATTGTATTTATTATAAAATGTTTTCATTCTCTGAGCACTTATTCCATGTTTGATGGTACCTGTAATAGCATCAGCAATTCTAATATGCTATTAAACAAAAATTTCCATTGACTTTCTGGCTCTTCTCTAGAGTGTTTGTTGTTTTGTCAGCTGCGTGTTTTATCAAAAAATTGTTTTGCTATAGTTTTATAGATTTAGTCAAAACCCAAAAAACCCTGTCATCTTCAAACAGATTAACCCCGCTTATAACAGTGATACACTAAGTGCCTTTTATTGGAAGAATATTTGACATCAAAAACATGTGGTTTCATTGTAGAATCTATATTAACAATTCCTGTTGACACTTATTTGGCCTTGCTTTAAGTTCAGCCTCATTTGTTTTTTTTCTTCACATGCTTAGTCTTGTACAAAAAAGGAAGGCAGGCATTTGTAACTATTTGCAAAATACAGTTGTAGGTTAAATTCAAAATTTGGGACAGTATAGACTGTGTTTTCGTTTAAGTGTATGAAAGGTAAACTTTAGATAAGAATGATGTATTTTTGAACAGTGAATTCAATTTTTAAAAAACGCCATTCAATTCAGGTTAACTACATATTTATTGAGTATCTATTATGTCTTCCTGAACACTAAAGGGCAGAGGACACAGAGAGGACTTTGACATGGGAGGAGTATGACATAAACTCCTCTGTCCATGAGGATTTTATATTCTAGTTAGGAAAGAAGGACATTGTATGAGAGAAGATCTATTATGAAAAGCAACAGTTTCAAGCTTTACCAGTAAAGAAGAAAAACAACTATTTAGCAAGAATAATCTTAACACTAACCTGCGTATTTTTCAGGTTAGGTAATTCATCTATCCAGTAAGTTGGCCTTTCAAGTACACAAAATGGTGCCCTGAATCTGTTTTTCTCAAGGTTCATATATAAATTCTTGAGTTTTTGTTTTTTAACTAATCTGCTTAAAATGTTCTGGTTCTCATTTGTTCTAAAGGACTTTAGAGAAGTTTTCAAGTAAAGATAATAGACTCAAAAAAATAATATTAGTATTGGTTTTGAAACATTGTTATTTTATATGAGGAAACCAAAAATATACACTTTTGTTTTTCTTCATCTGAAAGTTAGTGTTCTTACTGTATATCTAAAACTATTTTCTATGTACCCAGTATGTCTGGATTTGGAATGAACAGGAATCAGGCATTTGGAATGAATAACTCCTTATCAAGTAACATTTTTAATGGAACAGGTAAGCTTATTCTGGAGCTAGTACCCTACAAAAAATATGATAGATTTATGAAATATAAAGCAATTCAACATACTGGTCTTTAAATACTGTAGGATTTTTTAATTGTGTTAGATGGTAGATTTTAATTCAGTGAGAAATAGGAATAGGATTTAATACAGTGAATAGTTGAGAGATATGTAAATATATATATTTTTACTTGGCATGGTAACAGTAATTTCTGTTATAACATCAGGATTATTAACACCTAGAGAGAGCCTGCACTTTAACTTAGTTCGTATTTATGCCTCAGAATCTTTTGCTTCAAAGCTTTTACTATCCTCAGTCCTGCCACTGTGAGAACTATAGCTTAGACTAGGTTGTGTGGTATGACATTCTGGCTATAGAGATTCAGATTGAAGAGAACCTTTAAAATTGTATGGATCACTTGTATTTTTTCTAGTTTTAATAATACTAATTCTGGAATTTAACCTTTATGAATTATTGATCCAGTTTTATGTATAAAATTTAGTTATGTGGAAAACCAACTCTGATTTTGATAGTAAAACAATTCCTGCAGTCGTTTGGTTTATTTCTTTTATCAACTGCTTCAGATAGAAGAGAACAGGAAGCTTTGTTGCTATTTTGCTTTAGGTTTTACCCTCTCCACCCTACAGACCCTTTCCTGACAAAGGAAATAAAGGATGTTATGATCATAGGAGCAAAAATGAACAGCATTATTGGGAGAGAATTAAATGTAAAGGAAGTGGAAGGTAAAAGAATGCTCACTGAAATGGAGCGTATGTAGAGGCGAGAGAAGATTTAATAAGGAAATGTCATTTGTAGCTATGAGCTTTTAATTTCTAAATGTTAATGTATGCTCTGCAGCATAGATTAATCACAGAAGATTAAAAGCTTTGATAAACCAAATTTTAGCATTTGTATATGGTAGCTTGTGTTCAAGATACAGTATGAAATATTATATTCCATTGTTTCTAAAATGTACATTTCTTCATATTTTAATGTCTTTGAAATCAGATTGCATCTGCATATCATAATTTAATTGCAGTTTTTTTCCTAAATGTGACACAAAGTAACAGTAAAGGTGTCTGCCAGTGCCATCTTATATTCTGCATTGTGGTTTTAAACAGTGCTGTAAAACTTGAGAATTATTTTTTAAATTATATTTTCACTAAGCATATTTTATGCTAGGAAAATTCCATCTTGGAGGACCTAAAGATATGTATTAAAAGTTAATATATATTCAAAATGTATAATTGATTTATAATCAAAGAATTTAAGAAATTATATAGAAACAGGATATAAATTTTTTATTTCTATTGTCATTCAGTGGTTTTTTTTTTTTTTCAAAATTCTTAAACTGCAGAAACAAATTTATAAACTGCAGTTTTTGTAAACTGTAAGAAATAATAATTTATCCTTTACCCTTGTAATTTGAAATTGTCACCTGTCTTTGAATGTTAATAGATTAATGGTGTCTGTTGTTTTTCTGTCAACAAAGTAATCTTGAGATAACAGTTGCTGTTTGAGATTCTTTGCATTGTGAAATTTGGAGAAAAGTAAAAATTAATTGGGAAATGGCAAAATAAATTGAAAATGGTGAAACAAAAATTAAAAGAAAAGCTATAGCGCAGGCTAAAAGGAAGGTAGAAAGTTTTCTTCAAAAATTAAGAATGCAAGGTTATAAGAATACTAAAAAGTTAAGAAACTGAGGTGATTAAAATAGACAATAGACAAGGTGGGTTAAATTTTAATTTATAAAGGAAGCCGGCTGATTGTTTTAATTAAAATGAACTAAAATACATTTAATTTATTTTGTGTATATTTATTGAGCGCCTACTGTGTAATAGGTAATATAAACTTCTGGGCTTTGTATCATATTTCTATATTTCCTACCCATTTACTGTATATGAGAATGAACCCTACTGTCACCCTACTTGTACGCCATCCTCAAAACACACACGTTCATATATGAAAGCAGTCACATACAGGTGGAAGTCCTCAGGGCTTCTACTTCACTGCCTGTGCCTGAGCTATCTTTCTGGCCATTTGCAGGAGGTACTATCATTGTTACTATTTGTGTATAACTGAAGCTTCATGCATTCTAGATACAGCTTCCATCTGAGCATAATGAAAAGACCAGTTATATAGTAACAATTGCCCTCTTGTTAGCTAACAAGCTATAATTTTAGGTTACCATATTCCACTGGGGAAATATGTGCTTTTTATTCTCTTTGTTATATCTCTAGGATTTGGGGTTTTTATTATGCTGATTGTATATTGCTTTGCTAAATTGTTCATGAAATTCTTTGACATGAATTCAGTCTGCAACTGTCTTGAGCACCAATGTACACCTAGTACAGTGCCATGCATTATTTAGGAAGAAGGCACAGTCATTTCGAATTACATTATAGTTGGTTTTTATAATCTCTTAAAAAATATTTGTAGAAACAATAACCAATGTTCTTTCTTATTATATAGATGGAAGTGAAAATGTGACAGGATTGGACCTTTCAGATTTCCCAGCATTAGCAGACCGAAACCGAAGGGAAGGAAGTGGTAACCCAACTCCATTAATAAACCCCTTGGCTGGAAGAGCTCCTTATGGTAATTAAGCTTTTTAATGATGGCCAATGGGAAGTTTCCATTGTGTATGCCCACACACATGCATTTACATGTACATATACATATGCTTGGATGTGTACATGTATACGTTTGTATTTTCTAATCAGGTTAGTGTAATTTTTTTCAGAATTGATATATTAAAAGTGATTTTTCTTCCCAGAATACCATGGTAGCAAAGTTAAATGGGAAAACTGTTCAGAAATCCAAGAGGAACCCCTCATTGGTATTCAGAAGTTATTTTCTTCTGCTATCCCTGTCTTAGTTTACCTTAAGTGATTTATTTTGTGGTCTACCTTTTCTCTTGTTAATTGATCACACATTTTTCAAAAGAATATATTCCTGGTGATTAATAATAACTGACTACATTGAAGATGTTTTTCTGAGCCAGAGTTTCTCAGCCTCCACACTATTGACATTTGGGCCAGGTAATTCTTTGTAGAGAGAAGATGTTGGGGGACTGTTGTGTTTATATAGCATGTTAAGCACCATTCCTGGCCTCAGCCTACAAGATTGCCAGTAGCACCCTCTGTTTCCACCCCTCACAACCCCTATTGTGACAGACAACAATATTTTCAGACATTGACAGATGTCCTCTGGGGGAAAAAAATTGCCCCTTTTGAAAAACACTTCTCATGGGTCATGCATATAGCTTATGCAAACTCTTCGTCTCCATTATTATTCTTCATCACCCTTTTCACCATCTCTAATAGATAAGAGATTTGGCTAATCAAGGCTAAACAAATAAAGGAGGGGAAACATATGCAATAACAGTATAACAATTTAGACATGAAAATTCTATGACAGCAATATAGTTATACTATTTTATCACATACTTTTTTTTCTTTTGGGAAAACCTGATAGAGACCAGTAACGACACAGTGAATTTAGAAGAATCAGTTTATCAGTTATTTTAAGATAGAATTAATATTTGATCACATTTTCAACCAAGAAGGATTTCTGTGTCATTCAGATAGGAATACAAATAACAGTATATGAAGAAGGGAAAAATTTGTTTATATTCAAAAGTTTCCAAATTAGTGTCCCCAAAATAACAAAAATGATCTGCCCTGGAAGTTGAGTACCTAGCTACTTGATTCTCAGTTCAGACTCTAATGTTTTAACCTTTCCTCATAGGTCCATTTTTTCATCCCTTTAATCATTCCCGTTGCTCTCCTTGGACCATCTCTAGTTTCTCCATATCGTTCTTGAATTGTGGAGCCCAAAACTGGATATTGTTCTCCAATAAGGGCCTGACTAATGCCAAGTATAGTGGGAGGATTATTTCTCAGTTCTTGCATGTTTTACATCTATAACATGGAGTCCAAGAAAATCTGAAATAATATGGAGTTGTTTTATAATTGATTGCAATTTGCTCACTCTGTAAGTCACTTTCTAGTAGAATACTGACATATTCTTGTAAATTTTATTTTGTTCATTTGTATTTGACAGTTAACCTCGTATTTATAATATCTAGTCAAATATTTAAATAAAATGAGCTTTTAAACCAAAATTGTTAACAATTATTCCAATATCAAATTATATTTTTAAGCACCTGTGTATGACATTAGATTTACAGGATTACCATTGATTTCCCTTGTATTATTTTGTATGTTGACTTATTAATCAGTAAATGAAAATTTAGCTCTTCATTGTTACCTTGGATACTAATTTTTGAAATATGCTTTCATAGCATTTTAAAAAAAAACCTTTTGGTGTCTTAATATGAGGAAAGTTAACTTTATAATCTGTAGCAAAATATCATAAATATCAATTGCAATTCTCCGGATTATTTTCATTACATAGTTGGAATGGTAACAAAACCAGCAAATGAACAATCCCAGGATTTCTCAATACACAATGAAGATTTTCCAGCATTACCAGGCTCCAGCTATAAAGATCCAACATCAAGTAATGATGACAGTAAATCTGTAAGTAACTGAGAATTGTGTATGTGAGTGATGTAGTTTTTCCCTTCAGATTTCTCTTATATTAACAGTTACTTACTAAATACTATTACACAACTGTTTTATCTTGATATCTGTAATAATCTAACTTCTGAAGAATGTGGAAAAGCTTTATAACTTAGAAGATAGCCTATTTTTTTCCTATTTCATATAGGTTTGCAAATTTCTGTTGAACTTCTCAGAGTTAATTTAGACTTTTATTGTAGTCCCTGTCAGCTGGATCCCATGAAGTTTGATAATATAGCCTTCTAAGGAGCTGTGTTTTTCTTGAGTAAGTTTTTCTCCTTGAAGAATTTATACACATTTTTATACCTGTGTTGATTCAACCAACTCAGCTTCTTCTTTCTGACTTAACAGATATGTTTATTTCTTCCACATTTCACTGAAAATAGCTTTTCTGTGTGTGTGATGGGAGTTTATATATTATTAAAATAATTGATAAAGAAGATTGTTTGGTAAGAATTAAAATAAGTTTAAAGTTTTAAAGCTTATTGTTCTAACTTATCTTAGAGGTAGCTTTGGTGATTTTTGGTAATGTACTATATTTAGTTTCTCTTTTACATGAAAACATTGAGGAGTGTAACTTCAAGTGTATCCCAAAGCATAAAGACCTGAGAAAGAGATAGATTTTTTTTTTCTGTGACTGAAGATTTGAGATAAATAAGAACATTTTCCCTTGATTTCTTTTGCTTTAAATACTCAAATGTGGATGATATAGGATTTATTTGTATACCATGGAACAATGATGGAAACAATTTTGTATAGAACTTGAAAAACAGGTAATAATTTACTACGGATTTAAATGTAATAAAGAATAAATAGCAAGGTATTAATATATGAATTTGAATTTGAATACTTAACAAATTTTAATGTCACATTTAATTTTTTTCATGCTAGAATTTGAATACATCTGGCAAGACAACTTCAAGTACAGATGGACCCAAATTCCCTGGAGATAAAAGTTCAACAACACAAAATAATAACCAGCAGAAAAAGGGGATCCAGGTGTTACCTGATGGTGGGACTCTAGAAATATGTCAAAGATATTATGGAATGCTTCTTTTTTTTTTAACTTTTCCTTGAAAATAAAAGCAACTGTGTTTTTCCTTCCTAGGTCGGGTTACTAACATTCCTCAAGGGATGGTGACGGACCAATTTGGAATGATTGGCCTGTTAACATTTATCAGGGCGGCAGAGACAGACCCAGGAATGGTACATCTTGCATTAGGAAGTGACTTAACAACATTAGGCCTCAATCTGAATTCTCCTGAGTAAGTTTTTTTTCTGTATTTCCATGTCTGTATGTAATATCTCCCTTTAGACTTCCAGTTTTGTTTTGTTTTGGAGACAGAGTCTCACTCTGTCGCCAGGTTGGAGTGCAGTGGTGCAATTCCAGCTCACTGCAACTTGCGTTTTCTGGTTTCAAGCAATTCTCCTGCCTCAGCCTCCAGAGTAGCTAGGACTACAGGCGTGCACCACCACAACCAGCTAATTTTTTTTGAATTTTTAGTAGAGATGGGGTGCCACCATGTTGGCCAGGATGGGCTCAATCTCTTGACCTCATGATCCGCCTGCCTTGGCTTCCCGAAGTGCTGGGATTACAGGCGTGAGCCACCATGCCCGGCCCAGACTTCCAGTTTGTAATATCGCATCATCAAGTTATCTCACCTACTGCTACTCATTGTAATCTGCTGATTCTCTGGGTCATTCCCTCTAATATTAGCTCTTAGGTCACTGTCACTCTGCAGTATTCCTTTTATAATTTGGCAGTTTATATATGTATGTGTGTGTGTGTGTAATATATGTGTCCTAAAATCTCAGCTCTTTGAATTTCTTTCCTCCAGGAATTTTTGTCTTGTAGTTTACTTCAGCAACTCCTTTAGCTATCCTTTTGACCTAGTTATTATTAGTAACTGTAATCTCTCAATTTTAAAATCTGTCCTCTTGTGCTTTCTGACTTCCACTTTCTGTTTTCTATTTCTCTTCTTCTAGTACTGTGACTTTTATAATCATTTGACTCCATTGGCACCTTCAATCTATGGATTCTTCTGTGTTTTAACTGTTCTTCCATATCCCTCTCTCTCTTTCCCTATGATCAACTCCTTTCTTACCCAAGAAATTCTGTGGTCAGTCACAATTATTCATTTACATATCCCATAGCTACTTTGCCATTTTCTCATGTTGTTATACTTGGATGGCAAAATCTGCAATACTGGTTGTTAATGCCTATTTCATTCCTGGCGTGTGTATCCCATTGTGTAGCTACAGAGTCCTGCTAGAGAAAAACATATGACATTACTGCCTGGTCTTTCTTTATATTCATGCCCAGGAACGTGAAAAGTAGGCTCTTAATTATATCAGGGATTATTACACCTTGCGTGCTTAGTCTGTTTACTCTTTTGCTCTCTTATGCAACTATTGTATACTTCTGCACCTCCTAATACTTTTTCTCCTTGTTCTTACTATCAAACGATGACCTTGCTTTTCACTTTTACAGTACTAAGAAAGATGGAAGCAATCAGAAGAGCACATTTAGCACAGTCCAGCCACCAAATCTACCTACAGCCATCTGCATCTACCCTATTACCATAATTGACCCATGTGTGCTACTTAAAACCTCTTGAAAACTCAGGAACATGACTAACAGATTTTCACACTTTGTCGGGTCATTTTCATCAGCATAGAAATACACTGTTACTGCTCCCATCTTAAAAGAAAATCTTCCTTTGATCCAACCTCCTCTGTAAGTTACTTTCCTATTTCTTGATTTCCCTTTGAAGCAAAACTTTTCAAAGAGTCATCTCCGTTTTCTCCAATTTGGTCTTCTTCCATTCTCTGGTAAGCCTATTTCGGTCAGGATTTTGCCCTGCCACTTCATTAAAGCTACTTTTATCAAGGTTACCAAATAGCTTCCATGCTATTAAATTCAGTGGTCACTTGGAGGATCTCTTGCTCCTTGATACACATTCTTGTACTTGAATTTGAGAGCATCATTCTTACCTGATCCTCACTGGTTGGTCTTTTTCAGTTTCCTTGCTGGTACCTCTCTTCCTTTTCTTCTTAACCTCTTTGTGTTATTCCTCTTCTTTACATTTACATTCTTGATGATCTTCTCTAGTCTTATATTTTTAAATACCATATATATTGAGGAATCCCAAACATAGATTTCCATTCCATACCTCTGAGTCTGAGATTTCTACATTCAATTGCCAATTAAATATTTCTTGAATGATCATGTCCCAACCTGTTCTATCTACAGCCTTTCCAATCTGTCAGTGGTAACTCTGTAGTTTCAGAAGCTTGACATTATTCTTAACTCCTCTTTCTTTTATACCCCATAGTCTTTTCCAAAAATATATAAGAATCTGATCAAAACTCACTACTTTTTTTTTTGAGACCGAGTCTTGCTCTGTCACCAGGTTGGAGTACAGTGGCGCAATGTCAGCTCACTGCAACCTCCGCCTCCTGGGTTGAAGCGATTCTTCTGCCTCAGCCTCCCGAGTAGCTGGCATCACGGGTGCGTGCCACCATGCCTGGCTAATTTTTATATTTTTAGTAGAGATGGGGTTTCACCATGGTCAGGATGGTCTTGATCTCTTGACTTCATGATCTGCCTGCCTCGGCCTCCCAAAGTGCTGGGATTACAGGCGTGAGCCACTGTGCCCAGCCAGCTCACTACTTTTAACTGCTACCACGCTTCTTTGAATCATTCTCTCTTACCTGAATACTCCATTAGCCAGTCACTGGATGTCCCTGGTTATTCTTATACCCCTTCCCATACAGTCTCTTCATATAGCAGCCAAGACAATCCTTTTTTAATAACTTAGTCCTCTGCTCAATACCCAGTAAGCGTTTGTGGTTTCATTATGATTAAAATCCCCAAATCTTTTTTTTTTTTTTTTTTGAGATAAAGTCTCGCTCTTTTGCCTAGGGTGTGGTGCAATGGTGCAATCTTGGATCACTATAACCTCTGCCTCCCAGGTCCAAGCAATTCTCCTGCCTCAGCCTCCTGGGTAGCTGGGATTACAGGTGTATGCCACCAAGCGCGGCTAATTTTTGTATTTTGTAGAGATGGGGTTTCACCATGGTTGTCCAGGCTGGTCTCAAACTCCTCACCTCAAGTGATCTGCCCTGCGTTGGGCCTCCCAAAGTGCTGGAATTACAGATGCGAGCCACTGCACCTAGCCAGAAACCCCAGATTTTTACAGGCCTACAAGGTCGTACATGGTTATTGTCTGTTCCCAACCCCATCTCAACAGCTTTTCCCCGTGTTCACTGTATTCCAGCTTCACTAGCCACCGTCTTGTACCTCAGACATGTTAGCCACGTCCCTTCCTTAGTTGCTGTGGCAGTTCCCTCTGACTAGAAGAGTCTTCTGCCAGATAATTAATATGACTCTCTCCCTCATATTCTTTAAATCTTCAGATCTGGCTTAATGAAACCTAACTAACCACCTTATTTAATAATTATACATCCAGTCTCCTCTCCCAGTTCCCCTCTAACACAGGCCATTGTTTACTCATTTATTCTGTTCATTGTTGTTGTCTGCCTCCCTCCAATCCATCATGCTCAACCAGAAAGTTTCATGTTGTCAGTGATCTTTGGTCACTGATGTATCTTAAGCACCTAGAACAGTGCGAGGCTTGTAATAAGTACTCAGTAAATATTTGATGAATTTAAACTTTTGCAAATACTCCTTGTTTTCTTGCTGCATAAGTAAATGGGAAAGTAATTTAATTTGGGGGCATGGTATGAAGAATTTAAAGCATCTTGAGTTGAAGTCAAGTAAAAGTAGAAAATATTTAATCATATGTTTTATATATTGTGATAGTTGTGTTTATTTATACTCTATTGCAAGAATACTGATGGAAAGAGTCCTATCATTTCTCCCTCCCTCCCCCTCTCCCCCTTCCCATCTCCCTCTCCCTCTCTCCTCCCTGTCTATCTACCCTGCCCCCTCCCCATCCCTCCCTCCCTCTCCTCTCCTCTCCTCTCCCCCTCCTTCCCTCTTCTCCCCCCTCCCTCCCTCCCCTCTCCTCTCCCCTTCCCTCCCTCCCTCCTTTCTTCCCCTCCCCCTTTCTTCCCCTCCCCCTCTCCCCCTTCCCATCTACCTCTCCCTCTCTCCCACCCTTTCTATCTACCCCGGCCCCTCCCCATCCCTCCCTCCCTCCCTCCCCTCTCCCCCTTCCCGCCCTCCCCTCTCCCCCTCCCTCCCTCTTCTCTTCCCCTTCCTCCCTCCTCTCTCCCCCCTCCCTCCTCTCCCCCGTCCCTCCCTCCTCTCCCTCCCTCCCTCCCTCACCTCTCCCCTCCCTCCCTCCTCTCTTTCCCTCTCGCTCCTCTCTCCTCTTTCCCCCTCCCTCCTTCCTCTCTCCCCCTCCCTCCCTCCTCTCTCCCCCTCCCTCTCTCCTCTTCCCCCTCCCTCCTCTTTCCCCTTTCCTCCCTACCCTCTCCCCTTCCCCTTCCCCCCTCCCCTCTCCCCTTCCCCTTCCCCCCTCCCCTCTCCCCTTCCCCTTCCCCTCTCCCTTCCCCCTCTCCCCTTTCCCCTCTCCCCTCTCCCCTCTCTACCCTCTCCCCTCTCCCCCTCTCACCTCTACCCTCTACCCTCTACCCTCTACCCTCTACCCTCTCCCTCCATTGGCTTCTGTGTAAGTCAGTAAACCCAAGTAAGGGAATTAGAAGTAAAGATGCTCATTTTACGTTTAGACTTTTTGTTTTTCCTGATTTTCCTAAATTAAATTAGAATTCTGTTTTTCTGCTTTGGATTTCAAAATGTTTTCTTTTCCCCCTTATTCAGAAATCTCTACCCCAAATTTGCATCACCCTGGGCATCTTCACCTTGTCGACCTCAAGACATAGGTAGGAGAATCTATTTGTGTTTAGACCTTTTAAAAACATATTTACAACTGAGAATCAGTTAATAAGGCTTTTTTCATTTATTATCTAGACTTCCATGTTCCATCTGAGTACTTAACGAACATTCACATTAGGGATAAGGTGAGTGTAGTTTATTATTCTACTCAGTCAGCATGAATTTTTCTATTTTTCACGTTTTTCAGTTCAGACAGCATTCTGTTTTTGAAGTAATTAGTAATGGCCTCAGGAATATGCTTTCATATGTCCGTGTTAACTTGTTAAATGATAAATGTTAGGACTGGTTAAAAAAAAAATGAAAATTCTTATATTTAACAGCAGGTTACAACCATAACTGCAGTTGATGGGAATAAGCTAGCTTGGAACATTTGATAAATTTCCTTCTGATAATCTTATTTTATGACCTTAGCAGTAAAAAGATTTTCTTTACAGGTATTACAGATAGTGATTTTAATGAGATGGTCTCTATCTTTAAAAAACTGTTTATGACCTTTGAATTTTCTCTGTAGTTTTTCATTTCCATTTTTTAAATTACTTAAAATTCTAATTCTAAAGTAATTGTTAACAGCAGATTACAGCTTAATCTCTTTTTTCAATATAAGAAAAAATATGGTGGCGCTTTTTGCTTTTTTGTTTCTATTACAAAAAAATGCGCAATGATATCTAAATTTTAGCCTTGGAAGACAACATAATTTAGTGAGATATATTTTTGTTATATATTTGTGTATAAATATATGTATGTGTATATGCATGACAGCATTCTGAGTGTGCCTTACAGTTCTGTGGTCAAGTGGATGTTGATGTGGACAGGCAAGTAAAGGGATACCTTTCTCAATGTCTTTTAATACTTGAGTAGATGTGAGGCAAGAAGTAAGGAGAGGTCTCCTATTTTCTACTTGTGGATTGTGTGATTTGCTCCCACCTCCACTATAGAGCACTTTCATTCCAATTACCTAAGTGTTCCAGACCTTTTCTTATGCCAATTTGAGAAATACTAATTTAGGAGAATCTGTTACATTGGGACTGCTGCCTGAATAGGGATAACATGAATGGAAAGAAAAATTACATTCAGAGAGTGTATAAAACCAAATAAATATTTAGATATAGGATCAAATAACAAGATAAAAGTGTTGTTTGGGGACACTTTTAAGGTTTATTTTAATGTGAAAATTTCAGACTATTGAGCCTCACCTATGCTTTAGTTTGGTAGGCAGTTATGTTTCTACCTTGTGGAGAGACATGTAAAGCAGTCATGTTTCAGGCATCTATTTAAACAAACTAAAAAGCCATCTCTATGATTTTTGTATTCACCATCTGTGATTTGCTGAAAACATACAACTAACTGACTTGTCAATCACTGTCAGATATAGATTCAGTTAACATTTTTTATAATATTTGACACTCTACAAGGTGTTTTCATGTACTTTCACTCATTTTATTTATTTTCTTAATAACCCTCATAGGTGTCATTGTCCACATTTGACAAGTATAGCTAATAAATGTTAAATTTTAAGACGTGGTCATATTAATGAGTAATAAAAGCAGGACTTGAATACAAGTCCTAGATCTCTGAGCACAATGTTATTGTTAGTATTGTTGCCCCATTGGGTATTAAATCCTTGTAGTGATATAGTTAACATTTGATCTTGCTTGGAAGTTTTTAATTAGCTTTTTTCGAATCAGCATATCAGATAGATGCACCAGAAATAATTGAGTCATTTAAATGAGGAAGTTCACTTTTAGAATCATAACTACCTGTGTAATCATGTAATAATGGTTATCTTCTGCAAAGTGGGGAGTTTCCATTTATCTCTCCATTTATACTTTAGTAATAGCAACTATATGTTAGGATTTGCAGATTTGTTTTATATTTCAGAATAAGTTATTTTTCTTTTTCAGCTGGCTGCAATAAAACTTGGCCGATATGGTGAAGACCTTCTCTTCTATCTCTATTATATGAATGGAGGAGACGTATTACAACTTTTAGCTGCAGTGGAGCTGTATGTTCAAAATATTTTAATCACTTTTGTATTATAGTAGATCTTGACTATGAAAACATCTTTAAGTGATGATGGCTCTCTTTAAGTGGAACTATTTCTCCATCAAGAAATATATTTTTACATTTATAAAAGTGAACTTAATTTAGATTAAAACCATATCTTACCATGGCTTCATAATCTATATACATAAAAAGAATTTCAAACTTAATGCTGAAGCGGAGTACAATGGCTCACACTTGTAATCCCAGCACTTTGGGAGGCTAAGGTGGACAGATCACTTGAGCCCAGAAGTTAGGGACAGCCTGGGCAGTATAGCAATACTACATCTCTACAAAAATAAGGAAAAATATTAGGTAGGTGTGGTGGCACACACTTACATAGTCCTAGCTACTTGGGAAGCTACAGCAGGAGGATTGCTTGAGCCCAGGAGTTTGAGATTACAGTGAGCTATGATTGTGCCATTGCACTCTAGCCTGGCTGACAGTGCAAGACCCTGTCTCTAAAAAATATTAATTAATAAATGCCAGATTTATAAGAAGACCGAATTGACTTAACTCATGGATTTAGTGAATCTAATTTTTGTAAATATGTGAATTATATGATCTAATTCAAGACTATATATATTAATAGATACTGAATTTCATCATTTTATAAACATTACTTATAGGTAAGGCACTGTGCATATTTGTTGTATGTTTTGAAGTGCTGATTAAATAAGGTCCACATTTTCATTATCAGCAGCCTATTGGCCAATTTAAACAAATATTAATGTAAAGAAATTGGCTCATTGATACTTTTTCCCTGAGCAGATCTGTACTCACCTGATGCTCTAAAAATAAGTTTTCTGTCATTACTCAGATGCACAGTTGGTAACACATTTTGTTATCAATAGACAATACTCTTTAACATGTTTACTATAGAGTATATTATTAGTAATTATGACCTTATGATTGGGGAGACCTTTTCTCAGATAGCATTCCTAATAGCATTTGTATAAGTGGCTTTGGATCAAAGTATAAAAGTCACTGTGTTGATAATGAATTGTTTTACTTCACAACTGAGAGGAGTTTTCCCTTCATTTTTGTGAGAATAGAGAGTATTACCTGATCCTTTTAATTGTTTATTAGTAAAGAAATTCATTCAGTCACTCATTCATCTATCACTGGCAGTTCTGTTATTATGTCTTATTTATGTCTTAAAAACTACCTCATTATGTTAGTAAGAAGGCATTTCTTTACATGGAGGTTTATTTTGTGGGACTTGACCTCCTCTGGATGTTACTTCCTCAGTTTACAAGTAGTGCAAATTCTCATTGATTCATGTGTGAATTGTAATGGATTTCCTCTTAGCTTTTGAGAATTTAGAATTAATGAAATTTGAATAAAAAATACAGTAGTATATTTAGTATAATTTTTCAAAATAGTCTATTTTCAAGATACTTATAAAATTATGTTGAATTTATATAGTTAAATAGACTTTGTACTTAGTTAGTTCCTTATCAAATAATGCAAGTAGTTGGAGATACCTCAATTTCTTTTGAATGTTAAGAAGAGCAAGAAAGGACCTTAGTGAAGTTTTTGTAATACATTGTGTCTTTATTTGGCCTGGGCCTGCCTGTGGTTTATTACATTGCTTATAAAACTTTTAAAATTCTTGTTTGTGTAAAAAGTTTCTTTAGTTAATAAAGATATGTATATAATTAGTGTGCCTTCTGGACAAGTTAAGAATTAACTTTCCTATATTTCAATAGGGTTGTATTTTAATAACTTACAATAAATGAGTAGGAAGCATTCATATTATATATTTTATATGTAATTTTTTTTTTTCTGAGGAAAGCTTTATAAATGTAGAACTTGTTTGATGTAAGCCACAGGGAAAAAGTTAATTATCTTTTCTTTTAAAAATTGAAGTTTTAACCGTGATTGGAGATACCACAAAGAAGAACGAGTATGGATTACCAGGGCACCAGGCATGGAGCCAACAATGAAAACCAATACCTATGAGAGGGGAACATATTACTTCTTTGACTGTCTTAACTGGAGGAAAGTAGCTAAGGTATATTTTTTTCCATGTGCAAATGTATAAATCAAGACTTGAAAAAATAAATGTCCTCTTTTATCTGTTTATATGTACCATTACATCCAGTTCTAATAATGTGCCACATATTTGCCAATTCTTTTGTTCCATCTTCTTGGTGTCCCAAAACAGTTCATTTCACTGATAGATTATTGGATTTGTTAAGAGATTTTGTAATTTTACACAAGCCTTGGTAACGTTTGAAATATTTTTTGTGTCTACTGCATTGTAAAATAAAGACATTTCCTTGCAACCCCAGTCATATATTTTTATATTTTTGTAACTAAGCAAGGATGAGATTTTCCTAAAAGCAGTATATAAATAGGCTCTTTACACTTAAACTAATTGCAGGAAATACATCTCACTGTTTATTTGCAAGTCATTTTAAGAAAGAAAATTACAAGTATTAACCATGACTATTTCTGTGACTATTTTGCTAAATATTGGGGAAAAATAGGCTATGGATAAACGTTATTTTATTTTGGTTTTGCAACTTTTCCTCTCTTAAATGTCTTAACTGTCCCATGTGCAAAATTTTCGTCAGTGTCAATGTGTATTTCATGTTTTTAGTACCTTGTGTTTATTTAGTCTGTCTAGTAGAGAATGTAACCCATGTTACCTGATTTCACAACTCCATGATTTTTCTGATACATTTTCCATTTAGTGATCCTTAGGATTGAAAATTAAAGAGTTAAATTTGTTTTAAATAATATTTAAAAATATTTCTGACTATTAGTTCTTTGGATAGTTTTTAGCTGTTGATTTTTTTTTTCTTGTTTATAGTTTAGAATCTGCTTTACTAAAATAATAATTTAAAAAAAGGTAAAACATTTTGAGAAGACAAGGTAAAATACTTACCAGATATTTATCACAAAAAATTACACATCCCAAGATTTCATGTAAAACTCAAAAAAAGAAATAAAAACAGATGATCCTTAACAGACAACACCAAAATAAGATCCACGTAAGAAATAAAAAAAATTTTTTTTTTTTTAGATGTTTCTCAATGGTAAATGTCATTACTTCTCAGACCAGGTCCACATAAGTATTTTGTATTGAGTTATTTTAACAGTTCCAATTTATGTGAATATCATGTTTTCAAAAGGCATATTTATGAGTTAACCTTTTAGTTAAATAATCACATTAATTAAAAGAGTACCTGAGACATTGTATATGTTACCTGCTCTTTAAGATATATAGTATAGTCTATAGTAGAAAGCTATAGTCTTTGTATCATGGATTTGAATTTAATTCTTGTTGCTGTTATTTATGCTTTGACCTTCTACAGTTTTCTTTTTCATGCCTGTTTCTTCTTTATAAATCGAGATGAGATTTTCCTCTAAGTTTTTATGAAGATTAAATTAGATTTCAAACACACACACTCACTCACTCACTATGGTACTTGGCACTTGTGGTATTGATACATGGTGGTAGTTGTAGTAGTTTACTGCTATTGTTTTTATTGTCATTATTATAGCTTACTACTATTTTTGCAAGGATGAAAAAATTAGAGCTGATTGTTTATTAGGTTAGGACACTGGTTCTCAAACTATAGTTGCATTAGAATTACCTCAAAAATGTTAAAACACAGATTTCTGGACCATACCTCTATTGTTTATGATTTAGTGAGTCTGTGGGTGGGGCCTGATAATTTGCATTTCTAACAAGCTCCTAAGTGACACCAGTGATGACAGTGGTCCTGGTCCATAATTAAAGAACCTGTGGATTAGGTGATGCTACAGGATACCAAAAAAAAAAAATCTTTGGAGGAAGAAAAAAATTTTATTAGGAAGTAACTGAAGTTTTCTCCATTCAATTTGAGTACTTTTGCTCAATATTATTGTAAATTATTCCAAACTTACATATGTAAAAAGGAGTGGATATTTGCAATAAATAGCTACATAATTTTAGTTAAATTTTAGTTAGATTTATGTGTGAGGAAATCAACTTACGTGAGAAAATCAGCTTTCCAGGATAAGTTCTCCTCATAAAGTTCAGTATTCAGAAAACAATGTAAACATTAATGTAGGATCCCTTTAATTTCCAGCAAAAGCAATTCCTCAGTCAAGTAAGTAAATGTCATTTTAAAGAAAATTATGTCTATCTAAATATGGATTTACATATTTAACATATATATAAACCATAATTTAGCTCAGTTTTAGCTATCTCATTTACAATTAAGCTTTTGTCTTTATCTTTAAACTTTTTAACAGTGACGTGAAAAATGTGAGAGATAACATCATTAAGTTACTCCCTCAGATCTCTTTCAAGGTAACAGTTTGTTGGTCCTTGCACTGACACGCTTTAAAATTATTTTCATAGTAATGAAAATAGGCAGAATTGATGGTATTAATAAGATATTATTAAGTAGCTCACTCCTGGTTATATTAAAATGGAAATTCACGCACTTAAAACTTTGAAGTTGCATTATATTCACAGAATAAATTATTCAAAAAAATTTCTAAAGTATGTATTTGTTAAGTGCTTTCCCAGCGTATTGATTAGGAATTAAGAAATCTGGGACCTGTTCATAAGTATGTTTATTAACAACCTTCATTAAATTATAGAAAATCTAGTAATGTGTCATGTCCCAAGTTAACTTGAGTCCCCATTTGTAAAGTGGGTGTGCCTTACTATTTACAGGTAAAGAACATATATTAACATTTTAAATAACCTCAACTCATTGTAAGAAGCCTACAGTATGAATTAATATTTTAAATAATAACTGATTGTTAATGGTGTTGTTGAAAGGTACTGAAACTGATCTACATCATAATCCTGGAGTCTTTCATAATATTATGTGTCCATTCATAATATTTTGTATGAGCATTTTTCCCCAAATCACTTACTGTTTTCAGATAATTGTAATATTAAATATGGGATCAGATCATCTAAACCAGAAGTATTTCTTACCTCCTAAAAATTTCATGACCCTGAGTTCTAGAATCCAGTCCATTATTTATGTACAGAATTTCCTATAAATCAATAATACATACATTAAAATGTTGACATTGGGTGGGGACTGTGGCTTATGCCTGTAATCCCAGCACTTTGAGAGGACGAGGCAGGAGTTCAAGACCAGGAGTTCCCTCACTTGAGACCAGGAGTTAAGGCCAGCCTGGGCAACATAGCAAGACTCTCTACCAAAGGAAAAAAAGAGAGAGAGAGAGAAACATAGCCAGGTGTGGTGGTGTGCTCTTGTAGTCCTAGCTACTTGGGAGGCTGAAGTGGGAGGATTGCTTGAGCCCAGGAGTTCAGGGTTGCAGTGATCTGTGATTGCATCACTATACTACAGCCTAGGTGACAGAACCAGATCCTATCGCTAGCTTTTTAAAATTTAACATTATATTTTGCTTATTCTTTCCTTTTAGATACTCATAACTTCTTAGCAGGTTATGTTGTCCTATGTCTTTTTGCTAGAATTACTCATATTCAACTAATTTTAAATTTCCAGTGGTTCAGATAGTATTTACAATCTTCATGCATAAAATTTTTAACGTAATTTCTTCCACAGTGACTTTTTAGGTGATAGAGGCTGCCTTATTATCAGTAGCTTTCTCAAAGAATTAGAATTTAAGAATTTTTTTGACCTAATTTGACCTCATGGATCTATTAGGATTTCTAACAGTTAAGATTTTTTATGTCACAGTCTGATGTAAATGTGATTTTTCATTAATTTCACTGTTACATATTAGTAAGTTTCTATACTTTAGTAATATGTACTTCAAAGATTATTTCTAATAACTGTATTAAGATAGTTTGCTACTTTCTAAAATTTAAGTTAGTATGGATTTACTATACAGATTGAGCATTCTGATTTAAAAATCTAAAACCTGAATACTCTAAAATCTGTAACTTGTGAACGCCAATGTGGTGTCACAAGTGGAAAATTCTGTACCTGACACCATTGCTTTCTGGTGGTTCAGTGTACAGTGTACACAAAAATCATTATTTATGCACAAATAAAATTATCTTAGGCTGTATGGATAAGGTATATATAAAACATAAGTGAATTTCATGTTTAGAGTTGGGTCCCATCCCCATCTCAATGTGTAAATATTCCAAAATTTGAAACACTTTCGTTCTCAGGTACCTCATATAAGAGACACTCAACATGTAGTTAAGAGAAAGCTGACATTTCTTGAGAGTTTGAGAAAACATATCTATGGTGTATGTTTCTCTACATAACTAGATCTGTGATTATATCAGGTTTTTTGTAATATTATTCAATTATTTAAAACATTGCATTCAGTTTTGCTTGAATTGAACAAGTAACCTTTGGAGAATACAGGTAACCTTTGGAGACTACATAGCCTAATTTTATTAATAGAAGAACTGAGGTATTAAAAAGTCGCCTAAAAATTATTTGGAACCCTTTCTAGCCTTTGCAGTCATTATATTGTAATTTAGAAATCCTTTTTTTCCACTACAAGCAAATATATAAATACACCCTCTCTAATGTATTATTTGATATTAGAAAAATTAAGTGTTCTGTTCCTGAGACAAAGGAAGAGAGCTTATGTTTATTAATTCATCATATGTTAATTACATACCCGCTAGGGGCTTAGCACTATTCCAAGTTGTAGATAGTAGTATACAGAGAAGAGACTTGCTTCTACAGAATGTACAAGGATATGCATGTATGTAGTATGTGTGTATATATAACATAAACATGTAAGTGGTGTTACCAGGAATCAAATTAAAGTAACCTTTATATATTTTTAAAAGAATAAAAATATGTGGAAAACAAGTTTGAAAAACATGGAAGGCAAAATTTGATCTATATAATTTCCATATCTCTGATAGATTGAAGGTTTTTTAAAATTTTATCAAAGTTATTTATGCTTCTTAGGTTTAAACTGATATTTTTCTAGGGGGGAAAATGTACACTGATAAAGTTAATCTAGTTTGAATTCCTAGTAATAACAGTGTAGTTCACCAATGTGAAAAATTTAGTTAGCGTATTCAGTGGAACTTCTCATTTTGTCAGAATTACAGATAGACTTTTTTCCCTGTAACTACACATTTTGAAAATAAAAATGCCCATTTTAATTTCAGAAGAATGTTCAGAATATATTTTCTTCTTCACAAATTCAGATACTCAACTTGAACCAAGCAATAAAATTATTTGAATTCCTAGCTAGGGCTGGGGAGAGGGAGAATAGTGGGCAGGATGTTGTGGTTATGGTGGTGATTCTGCTGTTTTCTAATTTTTACTGATAAGTAAATAACCTCTGTGCCTTAGTTACTGTACCAGTCACATGAAGTCAACCTTTTCAGGTGAAAGTCGCCATGGTGTACCTTCGTTATAAACTTGTCAGGGGACTGATTTTATTTTTTTCCTTTTTCTTTATACCAAGAGAGAAGGGGACTGAATTTTTTCAGCATTTCTGGATTGCCATGTAATGAAGTAAATGAATCTGTTTTGGATCTTGGACTAAAAATATTAAAAACAATATGTTATACTACAAAAGACACAGGTTTTTTTTGTCACATGGGTCTGGATCCTAATCCTAGGTGTTGTACTCACTGTACGACTTGGCCAAGTTACTTGTAAGCCTCATTTTCTTCAGGTACAAAATGAAAATAATGATATCTGCTTTACAAAATTATTACAAAGATTAGAATAAAATTAGCCGTATCTCTAAGTTTGTCACATATTGAAAATGCTTTCAATAAACTCTGCCTGTTAGGTCTGTAATATCTTTAAATTTGTTTAAATTTAATATCTCTAAATTTTAAATACTTGGTATTCCATCTTAAAATTTGACCATTATAGCCTAAAGGTTTTCATTTTAATTTAATAATGGAAATATCCATCATGGAATCAGTTTGAAATCAGACAGATAAGGTAAAATATATTAACCACAGTTGCTAATGTAACTTGTTGGCTTAATCTTTAATACATAATGCCTATTGAGCTTCATAATTCTTTAAGTTGGATTGTGTGATAATTTGTGCTAATTCAGATTATAGAATTGATAAGAGGCTTTTAGAGCCTCTTGCTTTTTGGGCTTACATCAGGTATTTTTTGTTGTTTGCATTTTTTTTCTAATATACATAGTTACATTCTGCATTTCTATTCTTGATCTCGGGTGGGAAGTATCATGAAGAAATTATTTCACCATTCTTAAATTTTGAGACTCATGAAGTCAGTATAGCATTTTGAAAGTTTGATTAAAATGAGCTGCTATCTAGTTCTAGTCTTCAAATGTTGCTTCAAATTTTATAGTAGAAATATTGTGTAGTTTTAGGTCGTAGTTGATTTACCTTTGAGTCAGAGTTTTCGGTTTGTGAAATGGCAAGTCTGTTGATGCGTGAATTTTAAGTTCATTGCTTTCCCCAGATTTTAATAAGGTTAGAATAACTTTATGTGTTTGCTTTTTTTTTAATGTAAGTATAATAAAGACAAATTGGAAAATTATTTCTAAACTTTTTTTTATGAACAAAATAAATTTTTAGTTTTTTATACTTAATTGAAGGGTTTTATTTTAAATATCCTGTAATTTCCAGTGATTTAGAGATACAGTAATTGCCCTCTTTTTTTAAGTTAAAAACAATACACAACATTTCAGTGTCAAATGTTTGTTAGTAGTCTCTTCACTTACACACAGAAAATCTGTCTGTAGTTTTGTACTCATCAGTTAGAAACTACAGTACATTATTTTTCTTCAAGCTGTAGTTTATGTAGAGGAAAAAGTTGGCATATTTGTGTTGATGTTGATTCATATATATTGGGTATTTTATTTGTATATTAAAATATATTTGAACAGTAATTTGAGATGAAAAGGGAAAGATATCATCTAAATTCTCAAATTTGTTTTTATAGGAGTTCCATCTGGAATATGACAAATTAGAAGAACGGCCTCACCTGCCATCCACCTTCAACTACAACCCTGCTCAGCAAGCCTTCTAAAACAAAAGACTTCCCTTTTCTTGGGGTATGGCTGTCTCAGCACAATACTCAACATAACTGCAGAACTGATGTGGCTCAGGCACCCTGGTTTTAATTCCTTGAGGATCTGGCAATTGGCTTAAGCAAAGGGTCACCATTTGAGGTCCTGCCTTACTAATTATGTGCTGCCCAACAACTAAATTTGTAATTTGTTTTTCTCTAGTTTGAGCAGGGTCTGAATTTTTTTTCATTTATTTCCTTTTTTGCCAGCAGACAGACTTGAGTTTGTAAAGACAAGCAAATACACTGACAGAAGTTTACCATATAGTTTCTAAAATGTAAAAAGGAAAACCCACAAAAGACTCAACACAATTAGACCACAAAATTTGCATTGTTCATTGTAGCACTATTGGTAATAAAATAACAAATGTTTGTGCATTTTTATGTGAAGATCCTTCTCGTATTTCATTTGGAAAGATGAGCAAGGTCTGCTTCCTTCATTTTACTTCCCCTTCTGTTTTTGAAAGGCAGTTTCGCCAAGCTTAATGCAAGAATATCTGACTGTTTAGAAGAAAGATATTGCCACAATCTCTGGATGGTTTTCCAGGGTTGTGTTATTACTGAGCTTCATCTTTCCAGAATGAGCAAAACACTGTCCAGTCTTTGTTACGATTTTGTAATAAATGTGTACATTTTTTTTAAATTTTTGGACATCACATGAATAAAGGTATGTATGTACGAATGTGTATATATTATATATATGACATCTATTTTGGAAAATGTTTGCCCTGCTGTACCTCATTTTTAGGAGGTGTGCATGGATGCAATATATGAAAATGGGACATTCTGGAACTGCTGGTCAGGGGACTTTGTCGCCTTGTGCACTAAAAGGGCCAGATTTTCAGCAGCCAAGGACATCCATACCCAAGTGAATGTGATGGGACTTAAAGAAGTGAACTGAGACAATTCACTCTGGCTGTTTGAACAGCAGCGTTTCATAGGAAGAGAAAAAAAGATCAATCTTGTATTTTCTGACCACATAAAGGCTTCTTCTCTTTGTAATAAAGTAGAAAAGCTCTCCTCACTGCAGTGTTGGCTTTGATTTGAAATTGTGAAGTTATTTCTTCAACATGAAAACTACCGAAAACAACTGAAGTTTTACAGATATCAAACTGAGGTGTGACTCAAATGTCTTTTCTAGCTTCCAACAAGTAATATAATGGAAATATAATGAATCGTTTCACTTGTAGGTTAAAAACGTAGACAGTATTAATCAGAGAAAATATTTTTTAAATGGATTGTGGCAGCATTAGAAATAAAACATCCTGAATATTCTTTGAACCCAACCATAGTACTTCTGTGAAAAATTTAGGAGAAATTTCTTGATAGACCTTTGAGATTTATCTTTAAGAAGTAATGTGCAAATTAAGGTAAGCAGTAAGATGGGAATGGGTAGACTTTATTAAAGCTTGCTGGCCTATGTATCTCATATTTACAAATTGACAGATTCTTTTCCCATCTTAATACAAATACTGTATTTTAAAAATCTGAAGATTGAAGCTACCACAGCAGAACTAGAGAGTAGAAAAAAAAGCAATGCATTTTTAACCTATTTTTCTATGAAGAGTAAAAGTCTGTTGACATTAACCAAATCATATGAAAATGAATCATTTATGACATTGCTGTGCTTGTTTATCAGGAATATAAAGTGGCTTAAAATTTGTTTTTCTATGCATTTTGAGATATGAGAAACTGACATTTAAAAAAAAAACCAGCATTTCCTATCTTTCAGAATTAAACCAAAGCATCTCTTCAGTAGGAAAGATAGCACTATGTAATTATTTTACCTATTGTGCAAAAACCCTCAGAGAACACTATACCTTACTTGACATAAACCAGAATCAAATCATAGAAATCACTCTAAAAAAAAGATTACATTTTTGTTCTAGTAATTCACTTTGTAAAATGAAATATAGCTTTTCCTACATAACCACAAAAAACAAATGGGAAGGAAAATATGGAAGGGGACCTTTATTCCGATAAATAGAAACAATACAGGTTGAAGTCTCAGATGAAGTATGATCATGGCTGGTACTGATGAACAACTCAGAAAAATAAGATAGCTCATATCAAGTGGTTTGTTATCTTGGCTCTTAATTTTTTCTCTTTTTTTTGTTAACTGCCATATACAGAGTTTTAAATGCACACTTTCCATTTTTGTGAGTTCTTTTTATCCTGAATCATCAAAATGAAGAAACTCTTGCATGTTAATCAGCTTTTTAGAACTTGTTAATATCAGAAATTACCATGCTATGGACTTCAAAATACAAGTCACTCTATTTGAAATATTTAAAACACTACTTTAAACTTTTAAAATAGAACACAGTTATAATAGTCCTTGATTTTATAACTTGTGGTTATACATGTACAGAGACTGACAACCCTCAATTATATTTCACATTTTCTTTCAAAGCTTTAATTCTGTTAATTTCTCCCTATATAGCTAGTGAAATAGATGTGTACACTATGATAAATAAATTTTTTTAGATTAAACTATGATTGGCTTTCTGGGAATAAAAGTAGTTTAATTTCAAAGGGAAATCCTTTATTTGGTTTCAAATATAATTCTTTGGGTGGTACTATAATTTATATGCTAACGCTCTATTTTCAGAGACTTCACAAAGTTTTCTTTAGATATAATACATTTTAAGAACTGAAAGTTGATCTAAATTCTTAAAGTATATATAAAGCCAGCCACTTAACTAGTCTGTTTCTTTTTGACACTGAAATTGGGACATAGCAGGTGATTGATAAATACTAGTTGATTGATAAAAGTTGGTATTTCAATTTGAAAATAAAATGTATAAAACATTGGGCTTTGAGATAATTTACTCAGTTATGTTTTGCTATAAATTCATTTTCACAAGAATCTTTTTAAGCATTTTTAATAAATTCTAAATATTTCAAATTTTTCCACTCTACAGCCTCTCTAGTTGATGAATCATCTATTCACAAGCCATAGATCTTCCACTTTGTTATATCCATTGCTCATAAAATATGTGGCATCTGAGCATGGCTGTAAAGCAGGACTCATTTCATTTAACTTAGATTTAATAGCTCAATTTTGCAAAAAGTTGCAGGAAACCTAAATTGTGTGTGTGTGTGTGTGTGTGTGTAAACAGGATTGTATAGTGTTAACCATGGTTTGTCTATGTAGTTAATAAAGAAGATCTAGAAATACCTACTAACTAGGTTCCATTAAGATAGTTTTTGGAGAATGAGCTAAGCCAGGCATTGAGATGCCTGTACTTTGTAAAAGCTGGATCCTAGTGGCAGATCACAAGGCTGTCTTCTTGCCACTGGCATTACCAGTGACTTAGACTATACCATGAATACATGACAGATCTGGAAGATGAAGCAAATAAACACATTGAAGGTCAAAATTAGGACCTAAATCTAACCCAGTAGTTTGGTGTGTGGAGTTGAATCAAATAGAATACATTCAGTCAAGAAAATGACTTGGTTTTGCACTTTGGATGTTAATAAAGGATGGTGGCATATAACATTTGAGTGGTTCATATATTGATCAATAAGAATTGTGATCCTGTTGCCAGAAATATGAATGTAATCTTTAGACACATTAAGAAAAGTATAGCATTCAGAAAAAAAAATAGGAAGCCCACTGTATTGGAAGTAATCACGCATCTGAAATGTCATGTTCTGTTTGAATGCCGTATTATAAAAGCTGCCATGCCTGGGAAAGGCAGAAGAGGAGGGAGATGTAGCATGCCTTCTAGCTGCCCAGCAAATGCTGTGGTTTTATATACATTGTTGTGTCTTGTCTGAAGAATAGTATCATGAGGTGGGTTTTAGTATTCCCATTTTAGAGTAAATTTTAAATATACAAAACAACAAATAAAATTTTGGAAACATGGTATCTGTCTTCAAGTATCAAATTCAAGAGCTGTCGATGAAAAGCAATTAAGCTCATTCTTGTCACTTGAACAGAATTAGGACAAATAAGATTTCAGTGCAATCTTAAAAAGTAACTCAAGATTTTCAAATCAGTTGCTTTGTAAGACATTAGATTTAACTTCATAGAACATAACCTAGGAAAGACTGGCTGGACAGTGTTCTGTACATAAGGTAAGGAGTTGAATGTCCTAATGTTCCTGTGGCTCACTGAAAAAGTATTAAAGTGAGATAATTACTGTATTACAGCAAATATAATTGCCATCAATTGTGGTAAGGTACACCATTTTATGTACCACTAAGAAAAAGTTCACACTGTGACAAGCCACCAATTACAAAATATATCTATTATGTGAGGAAAGAACATGCATCTTAGAATTGAGATGTAGGGCTTGGAGAAGAGACAGCTAAGGAATAGCTAAGGGGAGGCATGACAGTTGTCAACAAATACAGGAAGAACCGGAACAGAGCAAGTCTCAAACCAACAGGGAGTAGTTGAATGAAACAGATTTTTTCTATATTAAGGCACTACAGAGTACTAGCTGCTTTATGAAGTAAAGATTCAGTCAATGTGCAAGCAGAGACTGACAATTATTGACAGGACTGCCTTTTTAAATAAAAAGTTGAATTTGATTACTTCCAGGCCTCTTCAGCCCTTTAAGGTGTTGATTCCCTTTTCTTGATTTGAAGTCAGAGACTATGTCATCAGAGCTAAAAGGTATATACTTAGAGCATTGACCTTTAAGTACATAAGACTGTGCTACTCTGTAAATCATGGATAAAATCACTACTGTATCTTTGGAAAGAAATTTAAATCAAAAAAATTACAAAAGGCAACTTCATTGAACTTACCTGTAGTGTTGTTTTTTTTTGATGTTAGGAGCAGGAATGTGAAACATTAATAAAGCACAACAAATAGTAATTATATATATGTATGTATTCACCAGACCTAAATGTATATTTTAGTTACATATTTGAAAGAGGGAAAAGACAGTTTTTAAGTTTTGACATAAATGTTTAGCCTGAAATTATACATTGCATATGTGCAATCTCCTGTGTACAAGTAGTAAGTAGAATAAAATCTTTCTGATGAAGTCCCACTAAATCTTGGGATAATCCCTGTGTATTGAGGTCATTCATTTACTTTTTCCTATAATAGCCAATGTTCTAGGGCAGAAACCATGTTACTACAATAGTATTTGTTAGCAGGACAGGAGGAAAGCTGAATCCTTATATATAAACATAAAACAGCAAAAATGCTTTTATCTCAGTTATTTCCGGGTAATATTTCTGCTGATCTTAGATTTCTTCTTCAGTTAATATGGATAAAAACTGGTAATGGCACTTAGATGCTTATTAGTTATATGTGCATTAATTGAAAGTTTAAATCCAACCAGTTGTGTAAATACTGTGACAAGATTTTAGTGACGTGTCTTTATCATAAGAATTCAAGATTTATGGTGATTTTTAAACAGCCAGTCATTTCCATGTTTCTTGTACAGTTTTCTCTCATTTAAATGACTTCTTGAAAATGTCAAAATTCACAAGGTCATAATTGTCATAAGTTCCTATCTTGAAAATTCAAATTATTGCATAGTCAAAAAGCGTATGATAACCAGTTGACGTGTGCTAAAATACTTCAGTTATTACTTCTATATAGCAAAACCAATTTTTCCTTTTTGAGATTCATCTTAGTTTTCATTTCTAGACCCGAAAGGCCGTAACATACCACAAAAATGTTTTGACATCTTTCTTAGAGAAGATGAAATAAAAACTGGCTTTATACCAAAAGTGTTAGTTCTTTAAACAATAATTGAAGGCCCTAGCTGAGAAAAACAAATCTTTACTATGAATCAGAGCCGGTCTCTAATTTGTATGTGCTTCCTGAAATGTAATGTTTTTGTGATTTGCATTTATTTTTGGCCTAAGTGACATTTTGACCACATAATTTAATATTAAAACTTAAAATAAATGCCTTTTTCTTCCAGGCCAAACTATTTCCTAGTGCATAATGAAGATAATTTTGATGATAATACATGAGTTCTTCAAACATTTTGGAAGAAATGCTTCAAATTTCAAGGGTGATATCATGTCCACAAATTGCTGAGTCTG